CGTTGACCCCTCAGTTCCTGCAAAGACTTGGCTCCCTTGCCTCAATCTAAAACATGGGCCCTAGGCCTTTCCAGCTCCAGAGCTCCCTGTGGGGTCTACTGAAGTGAGCCCTGTGGTCTGACTTTTCCTTCTGCTAATTGATCTTGAATGTTGTGTTTCCCCCACAAGAACAGTCCCCTCATTGAGTAGTTCCCAACAACTTCCTGGTTAAAAGTCTGTCTCAGAATCTGTCCCAGGTAATCCAAACAGTGGCCCTTCTAATCTACAGGGACACTGTAGTGGCTTCCGGGACTTTTGGTTTGCTGGTTAATTTGTTTTTGGAGACAGGGTCTCAGTATATAGACCAGGCTGGCCTCAAACTTGTGATGCTTCTACCTGAGCCTCCCTAGTACTAGGATTTCAGATGTGTACCACCATGCCAGCACATCCTTTAGGGTCTGAAGAGTAGAGATCTCCCATACCTGCTGAGTATCGGCCATAGACATTGTACATAGACCAGCTGTTTTGTCCCTTATTTTTGCAGCTCTTATGATGAACTGTTCCAGACAGTTCTCTCTCTCCTTTGATCATCCTTCATAATGCATCTATTTACCTATTGCCACTAAGCCCATGGCTGCTACCGCTTAGAACAGAAGCCCATCCAGAACAGGTCTGGTCCTTTAGAGCCCCAGGGCTGAGCATGATGCTTTCAGGCCAGTGCTCCTTAGAACTGGAGAGGATCCCAATCTCCAAGGCTCACTACACCAACAACAGGAGGGCTTTGGGAAAGCCTGGTATGATGCAATAAATTTTAGAGATATGACTTTGGGTTTGTTCTTTCTGTAATAAGAGGTCTAGAATGATGAGAGGTATTTTGTCCTGTTTTCTGGAGTATTTTTGTACTTTAGAATATTTAATTTAATCTTTAGTATTTTCATACATTCCGATAATGTATTTTTGGTAGTATTTCACCAAAATCTGGCCCGTTTAGCAGGACTTTGCCTTTGCATTTTTGAAGAGAAGATTCCTTTTATCTTTAGTAATATCTAAACCCAAGATATTACAAATGTATCTGTCCCTTTCATTGAAAAAACAGGATTTATACACCAAAACCCTTGAAATCTCATATTCCAAGCTGCTAGAGGTAGAGTCACTAGAGCTTAGCTATGAATAGGAAGGGATGGGGGTTGAGTGCCTTTAGGGGACATCTGGTACATGGAATAGAACACAAGGTTATAGTCTCCCAAATACTGTCGCCAGGACCTCCTTCCCTGGTAGCTATTACAGGTGTAGATATGAATCTATAGGGCACCCCCTGAGATTTCCATGTTCTTGCTTCCCAGAACAAAGAACTGGACCAGGGACACTCGAATGGTGGTAGAAATAGACAGAATATTAGGAATGAGAAAGCACTCCCCAAAACAGAAGTGAGTTGCGACAGGTCAAGACTCAAAAGCCTTGCTCACCTACCCCAATCATCATGATTTTTTGGGTCATTCACATAGCACCCACCTTCTCCTACATTCAGAGATCTAGGAGTTTTTCTGGTACATGCTTTGTTTGTTACATGAAGCTTTCATAGACAAGGACTTCCAGTATTCCTCTGCATCTTTAATATGTTCATCTTGATGCCTAAGCCTGCTCTTAAGCCATACAACCCCCTAATGAGGAGGCTAGGTGTGGGGTCTGAGGAGGATTAAAGGACAGAATTAAACCCCTTATGTCCTGTTAGCTGGGCAAGTCAGAAGTTCAAAGTCAAATGTTATTCATTTAGAAGACAATTGCATAATATTTCTTAACAAGAGAGTTGTTGAGAATTCATCCTTAATTCATTGATACTTAATCCTGTCTAGTTCTTTCTCTGAGGTGAGAACTCTTTTTTAGCTCTCTGATTCTTTCTCTCTTTGTATCCTAGCTAGAAGCCTCTGAGATGAGTGATACTTTCTCAAAGGTTTAACAACTCGCTTCCATTCCCTTTGTTCTACTAGAAAAGCATTTTTGTAGTATAAAATAACCTTACTTATAACCAACCTATTCTACTGAAACAGCAAAATAATATACTTCTGATTTACAGTTTGTGTTGTAATTAAAGATAGGTGACTCTTTACCCTTAGCAGCTTGAAGTAGGGATTTAGAGGGTTTTAACACATAAATATGATTTTGAATAAAAGCGGTGTCTTAACAAGAGTCACCTTTCTTGGGAAGCATCCCTGGCCTCTGTGGTATTGTACATATACATGTCACCAACATCTAAGAAATAATGAGGTCCTTGACTGTTCATGGGGTTTGACTATTTAGAATGGAGATTAAGTTAGCTGGAAATTAGAAATTAGAAATAAATCTGCATTGTAGAAAGCCCACTCTATTTAACTCTGGTTCTCTCAACCCTACAAACTCTACGGAGATATCATAAATTCACCCCACAAAGCTGTGATCATCACATGGGAATGCAATGAGATCTCCCAAGACCCCACGAACACATAAATAATTTATTTTCATGTTTGGGCCATATTTGGTCTGTTTCCCCTGCAGAGTCACGTTTTCATTATTTTCTGGCCTGCTCTGTGTTCCAAGAAGCTGACTTGTAAGGACTACAACATGGGTGTCTTGCCCTGGTAGAAGACATGCACAGTGGATGATGACAGCAAGAGACTGAGAGGAACAAGCATTGGGCACTGCATGTTCCTCTATAGAAAGCCACACCTTCCCCTTGCAGAGCTTTCCTTCCCAGTGTCACAGCCCCCTTTAGCCAGCCCATCTCTTTGCCCCTGCCCAGACAGCGCTCATGGTATGAATGGTTCCCAGCTGTATTTGGGCAAAGGCTAATAGCCTAGAATATTATTATCAGCCCCAGGGCCTCACCATGTGTTCTTTACTTTCTCGAACCCTAACCATACCTACAATTTCATTATTTCTTCAAGAAACCCTCCTCAATTATGCCTACTTCAGTTTGTTAATATCAGGATATTGTGCCATAATATCTTTAGACCATAGGCAGCTGTGCCTACAAAAAGTAGGTAGCTGAGGAAAGAGAGCTGGGGAAGCTCATTAGAAAATCTTTATCACATATCATAACTCATCACAGCCAATCATGTACTACATTACAATATTGTATTCAGATTACTTATAACAACAACTTCAATCGTATGTGTTTTATCTATATTTGGGGGAGGGGGGTAGTTGTACTCCCAAACTTATTTTCAGATTATCAAATCACAGATGTTTCAGTGACAATTAACAAGTTATTAATTTTGACAACGTTCCAGGCTATTTTTCTTTTCATATATTTTATTTATTACTTTTATTTTGTGTATGACTGTGTTGCCTGCCTGTATGCAAGTACACCCATGTTGTGCAATGCTGCAGAGGTCGGACAAGGGCTTTGGATTCCCCTGGAACTCGAGTTAAGGACTGTTCGTAGCCACCATGTGGGTGCTGAGAATCGAACCCAGGTCCTCTGCAAGAGCAGTTAGTGTTCTTAACTACTGAGCCATCTCTCCAGCCCTCAGGCTATTATTCTTTACCCAAATCCCTTTACCTTCTATTACTTGCCATGCCTCTGTGACTTCTTTCCTCACATACCTTTTCTGTCCATCCCTAGAGATAAATCCAATCGTCCCCACCTGTGGGGACCCTGTACAGGTAAAGCTCGAGGGGGACCACTCCCTGAAAGGAAAAACGGGCGAGAAAGAAGAGACAGAGCCCAAGCAAGTCAACTTGTCAAGGGTCGCTTTATTGTACTGCAAGCTTTTTTTATATACAGTGTGTATTCAGAGGGGGTTGAAGATGTTGGTTAAAGGTTACAGTATTCTCATGGGTATGGGAGGGGGACTGAGCAATTCAGCAACGTGACTGACCGCCAGGTGTTCCAAGAGATTACTGCCTGACTTATCTTTCCGAGAACTGTCTGCAAGAGGAAGAGAAAGATAACCTTGCCATAAATTCTTTCTCAAGGTTACTAGTGCAGGCAGAATGTCCTGCTTAAGTCAACTGTTTGTAGAGCCATATTATATTTTTTGGTAATGAATGTTGTTTCTCCAGCTCCCGACAAATAAGTCAGGCCCCACCACAGTGGCTGGTACCTGGGTTCTCAGCACTGGCTATGT